CTGCACATCAAGCCAAGTGGCTTTTCTTCTTAGTGTAACCCATTGAAATTGTTCATGGGGTCTTAACCTGACCTTAGCCTCCTATCTGTTAGAGGGCATCATAAAAGATTTGTTGATGTAGCCCATCTTAAAAAGAGCTGTTTTGTAATCTCATGTAAGACAAAAAGAATTAGATATTTAAAAGATGTGTTCAGCCCACAACCTCATAGACATGGACTGTAGATTTTACTAAGGTTGTAAATGTATTAATGTTTTTCAATTGCTTCTTAACACTAGTTAACCCACGTTTTATTGGGTTATGCATTTTTCTTGCCTGCTGTCTCTTCTTCACTAACCCCCTTCCTTTCTTCCCCATGCAACCTGCAACTAGTTCAAACCTTCCTCTTACATGAAATGGCTGTGAAGGAGTAGGCAAACTGAATAGTTGTATAACATTTTTAAAAGGGTTGGTGTGATTTAAATGTTCAACTGTCACCTTTGTCCATTGGATATGATTAGTAGCAGGGAAAAACAAGACAATGTCTATCTTCATCTAAGCCGTTTCACTGTGAAGCAGGGAGTGGATTGATTCTTCCCCTGGCTGCTGCTGTGTGGAAGACTAGTGATTTTGTTGTTTTTAGTTAGATCAACCGACAACAAATCACAGTCTGCCAAATAGCATGGGCTCCTCCTCTTCTGTCTCCCTTGGCAACCAGTAGGCACGTATAATACACACTACTTCCTGTTGACGCTATCCGAGCTTAGCCCAAATGCTAATACAGATGTAGACCAGCCGCCACTGTCTTACGAGTACTGTAGTGTTGCCATGGTAACTAACCCCAGCTCCCTCTTCCTCTGTCCCCTTCGAGCGTGTTGCACCTGCTTGGACAGAAGGACTAACCACACCCCTCTGTCCCTCCGCATTCTCTTCCTTGCTCTCCTTCAGCCACTTGTGTCCCATGTTCCCTCTCTTCCTTTCTACCTGTCTGGCTTTCTTACCGTCTCTCTTCCTGCTCTGGCTCCTTATCCTTTTCGTCATCCAGTAGTTTCATAACTCTATATTTACACTGTCATTGAGTTGTAAATTGCATTTTTCTTCCTGTGTATTTTATTTATTTTTCCACTCTTTTTATTTCAGTGTGAAGCAGTACTCTGGCCATTTGCTGTAGACCCAGGAGACTCAGATTGAAGCAGACTCAGATTGTTCCCTTCTCCCCACCCCTCTCAGCCTTTCTGCCCCTGTCCATCACCCCTTCAAATTTTTTTTTGGGTTTTGGTGTTTTTTTTTTTTTTTTTTTTCTTTTTTTTTTTTTTTTTTTTTTTTGTACTTTTTAATGAAACATTCCTGTGCATAAATGTAGATGTTCTGCATTTTTAAGAGTGTAGTCCATGAGTATATCAGATACACTTTGCTTTTCTTTCTTACACTCACTTCTATCAAAATATTCTTCATTCTCCTGACAGACAAAAATAAACGTAACCTTTATTTTTTAATGGGTTTTGTTTTTTATGACTTGTATGTTTGTGTCTCTGGTTTAAATCTGTCCTTTGTGTGTGTGTGTGTGCATGTCAGCATGTGTGTGTATTCATGCAGTTGTACCATATTACCACTCTGTGCAACATGCAGAATGTAAGCTAAATTTCGTTTCATAAGGAACCATTTCTAGTTTTATTTTTGTTGTACTGTTCAGGATAGATTTTGGAATATTTACTCTTGTACACACCAGATACAGGACAGTGACTAATTTGTAAGTATATTTGTGGTAGATGTGTGATGAAATAAATCTGAATTATTTGAGTAACTCTTCACAAATAAACATAGTGATAAATTTGTTAGGACATTTTATGGGAGATTTGACAAAAGATATTGAACTTATTTAGTTTTATCCCTGGAATTTCCTCTTGTTTGCTTTCCATGCTGTAGTCTTCACATTGTCAAATAAATAAACATGATGCCACTTTTTACTGAATCAACTTGTCTTTTTAAATGTCTTGATGATTGAACTGCGGCTAGATCAGTTTTCTGTGCACAGGTGGCATTTAGGCTTAGTGATATATGATTCTTTAGGTGACAGTCTAGCTGCCATTTCTGGCTTGTTATTGTATTAAAGCTAAAACAAAATAATTTCTTTTAATCTGCAGAATATTTTTTATGTGATTTTTTTATTGCTAATGAAAATGTCAGGAAAATATGTACAGCCTGGTGATGTCAGCAAATTGTTTTGTCTTGTCCAACAGGAATTCACTTTACTTTAAAATGAAAAATAAGAAATAAGATGAAGCTAGAGAATTGTTTGGCTTTTTTTTTTTTTTGGACAGCTGGTGATCAAACTGGTTATCAAGATTTGTTTTCTGTCTGTTCCGACTGTGGAAAGCTCATCTTGTGAAATTAGTTTTTTTTTTTTTTTGTGGGTAGTTACTTAATGCCAAAGCTAGAACAGAGACTGGGCCCCAGATTTACATGATTTAAGTTTACAAAAATGTGCCCCAATTAAGTAGAATGTTAACTGACATGTTCTTTCTCCTCATGGTCTTTTCTTGCAGAAGGACTGTCTAAACCTAGTGTTAAGACCTTAACTGTTTTTGGTTTATATTAGGATAATTTAAAAGTTTTATTACACTGCTCAATTTTTTTCTGTTTCAAGTAATTAACACAGGAAACCTCGGGCAAAGGAGTGTTGTCTCATCATAAGAGAAGGCTGCAACCGACAATTTTCATTATCGGTATCTTGACTGTTTTCTTTATCGTTAATCGTTGAATGCTTAAAGTCTAATAAAATGTCAGAAAATACCGAGAGGTGCCTACTGTTAGACTCCTTGAAGCCCCAGTTAAAATTTTCAACTTGCTTTTGTTGCCCACCCAACAGTCAAAATACATATTGAGGCTAATATTAAAAACTGAAAACCTGGAAAATGTTAATTTTGGGTTATCATATATGACATTTGAACAACTAATCTCATCCTGCGGCTCAGGAGGTAAAGCGTCGTTTCCTAACCGGAGAATTAGCGGTTCGATTCCCGGTTTATCCAGTCAACGTGTCGAAGTGTCCTTGAGCAGGACACTGAACCCCAATTGCTCCCGGACATAACACCGGTGCGTGAGTGTGAAAGCGCTTTGAGTGTAAAGCGTAGAAAAGCGCTATGCAAGTGTAAAACCATTTATCATCAAAATTGTTGCCTATTAAATCCCTGTTAGTTGACTAATCAATAAAGTATCGGTTTCTGGCGTTACTGTGTTGGTCAGTAAATCCGTGGGTCAATAACCTACATACTTCCAATATTAAGTCGCCGAGTTTATTTGTCTATTTACGGATATTGTTTCCGGGTTTGCTCTCCTAGCCTCTTGTGATTGGACTATCGGCTATGACGACCCCACAACAGAGGTTCTGATTGGATAGCACACGGAAAACAGGTAGTGGAAACGACGCATTTTGAACCCGCTAAATGGCTGATTTCATATGAAAAACATTGGTTTATGTGGGCCTTCAAATAAGTATTGTCGCGTGCTGAACGGGAAGTTTGTACCGAAAAAAACTGCATTGTTAATCCGCGGTGGGAAAGTACTCCATGTTCATGTTAGTGCTGCCAGTTGCCGCCTCTACAGTAAGTTATTACATGCACTTTGCTCGTGTGGTTTATCACTGGACCTTAATAACATGATTTTACTACGCTAACCTTACTAAGTAACCGACAGACAGTGCAGCTTTTTGTGAACCTACGTCTTTTTTCCCTTACAGAGTGGAGAGAAACTCGAGTGACTCATCACAGAAAAGCAGTGAAATGTTTTTCATTCAGTAGGCCACTATGTGCGTCACAGTGCCCTGGCATCATTAACAGACACTGGGCGCTTAGGATATATGGCAGAAACTCGGCAGCGTCGTGGTTTTATGAAGGGGCTGGTCATCAGAGATGTTCCTGTGTGCAGGGCTTTTATGTGTTTGTACTTACACAACATGAGAGCATAGTCCGAAACCTAAGACACTATAGATACAAAGTAACATCGTCTTGCATAAGTGACAAAGTGCATCTCGAAGCTCCAGGATCACTGTGGAAATTGTGGGGGAAGAAGTTTTGAGATTCTTTGCTTAAGTAAAAGTTTACACGCTGTCAAAAAGATGAAGTCATAATAATCTATTACCAGTACGTCATGCATCGAAAACTGTACTTAAGCAGGCGATGTAACAAATGTACTTAGTTCATAACACTTGAAAATGATTATTATTACTTTATTACTATTGTTGTAGTTTATGAAGATGAAGCTGGTTCTGGATATTTTATGTGCTTTTGTATAGTTAAATTTTCTGCATAACAATGCATCATATTTTTTTACCCTAATTAGTTTTTATGTAGCGAGTAGCTGTCAAATAAATGAAGGGAGTATACATTACAAATCCCCTCTGAAATAGAGTGGATTAGAGGCAGAAACCAAACATAAAATGAGAACATTGAAGAACAAACTACTAAATATTTGAATAAATCAACCGAATTATCTTCCACCATTGGAAGCTGTGCCACTGAGTTACTTAGTAAACTACTGCAAGCCAGGTGTTCTTTGTAAAAATTAAAATAAATAAATTAATAATAATAATTTTTTTTATTACTTCATCTCTCATTTTGATTGTCTCTTCATTGTGGATTGTCTAATAAAGCAGGGAGATAATCTTTAAAATGGCACTTCCCCAGAGGTGTATGTAGGATATTGGTGTTTCAATATGAAAAGGGCAATGACATTCACACTCCCCCTCCACCCACCTATGCATACTCGTAGAAGCTTTTCTGTAACTTTTTGATTAAAGCCAGTCTACTCTGGGTTTATTTTGCAGGCATAAGTGTGTGCCAGAAGAAATCATTGTTTTCATACTTAATTCCTTACACTCATATAATCACTGCTGGGGCCTGCATATGTTTCTTCAGGTGTGTTTCTGCTCTGTACAGTTACCATCATGGAAACACCTCTGCTTCCCCGTGAGTCTGGCCGATTCATAGCAGAGCAGAGTCGGGATGTGTTTGTGGAAGAGGAAGGCGTGCAGAAGGTGGCAGAGATGCTCTTCGCTCTCCGACACAGTGAAGATCTGTCTGCCAGTAACTGGAAGAAGGCAAATCCACTGGCTCCAGCACCCACATCTGACCAGGGGAGTTTGCAGGGCCACACATAGTGTTAAATAATGTTTCACATAATACATAAGTAGTGAACACCATGCTGTTTGCACTGAATATATGGAAAAGATGGCAAAGAATTTTTAGAACTCAAATTCAACATTGCTTGGGATTGTTGTCACAGATGTCTGTCCCTTGGTTACACGCTGACAAATTTACCAAAATATAACATTGGCATCGAAGCGGAAAAACACTGTTCAGTGTCTTTTAGTTGTTTGTCTTAAGTTCTTGCTTTAAAAATGATTTTTCTTCCTCAAAATAATTTGTATCTTTTAACACTACAGGCCCTCAACTGGGTGTTTGTGGTAGACACTATGAACTTCTCCTTTTGGCCAGAGAACGAAACTCAGCAGTGTGAGGTGACCTATAAAGGCAACACGTACACAGGCTACATGACCCTGTGTGCTGCAATCACCAGGGCCATGGAAGAAGGTGAGAGCATGTTTATCACAAAATAAACAATGTGTGAACACCAGAATTTAGTGTTGTGCTGGGTTAAAGGGATGTCACAATCAGTACACTGATTTGGCAGGCACGCATCTCACCTCCTTTCCCAGGGGCAAAGTTGAGGTGATGCATCATAGGTGTTACTTCCAACATTTTTGCAAAATTCATTTAAATTACACAGAAAATAAACCAATGCAAACAATCTGGGTGATATAAACATCAGAATTAAGAAGAAACGCTAAGGCCATGCTTTAACACTGTGACACAGCATCTTTGCTATTCTCATTTACCTTTGTCTCTGGACAAAACAAAGCATATTCAGGCCCTTTTCACATCCTTTTTCTTCCTGTGTTCTCTGTGCTTTTGTTGTGCACTGCCATTTCCAATTATTGTGCATGCTGCCTTTACTTTAATTTGGACTGCTGGGAAATTTCTTACAGCTCTGCACGCGCCCGTGCATCATTCATAATTAGTGTGAATGACTCCGGATATGAATCAATTATGTCTCATATGGAATAGTGTTCTCCATGTGTGGTTGCTGTGGCCACTATAATTATAAGAGCTTCTCTCAGAAAGGCACATGTAGCTTTGTTCCAGAGTGTGAATCTCAAGGGTTGACAGCATGAAATTATGTTTTTTGAGCCCCTTGTGAGAACTGGCTGCTGTCAAGTTATATTCCTGTTATTATAACATGCTATAACTTCATTACTTTTTAACCTTGAGAGTTCTCTCACTCTGCCTCTCCAGTAGGTCCTGTCTAAAGATAAATCCTTCTAGCTGCTTCTGTTCTCCTCACTCCTTAGGTATACCCATCACTGATCCAAAGTACTTCTCTCAGATGAGTATGGAGGAGCTGGCGCACGTCCTTCGATCAGACAATGAAACATCCATGCCTATGCTTCAGGAGCGCCATCAGGTTCTAGCATAATCATGTTAATGTTCCACAGCCATGGTAGTAGGGATGTAATAATACAGGAAATCTATAGATTGATTTTGTATTGTTACTTTGGTATTAAATTGGATACACTTTTCATACAGTAAAAGCAAGGATGCCTGAGATTACACCTTGTATTTCCACTTCCTGTTTAAAACTGTTCAACAGTATTTGAGATTATATTATTCTAGGTCCTGCTATATTTGTATATGGCAGCTGTGTTCAGGTGTGTTTGTATTCAGCCTTATATATATTTTATTACATTTTCTGAAAACATCTGATGACATCTTATGATATCATAGACTATCAGTGTTACATTATTACCTCAACTGTGTGTTTTTTATGATAAGTGGAAATTTAAAGCATCCTGCTCATCATCTTCATTAAATTTGAACACATCACATGCTGACTCTTTCTAACAAGGTGCTGACTGAAGGTGGTCACGTGCTGCTGGAACACGGCGGAAGTTTCCGCAGTTTTCTCAGCCAAGCCGGGAACGATGCCTGGAAGATGGTGGAGCTCATCGTGGAGAAGATCCCTTCCTACAGAGATGAAGCTACGTATGAGGTTAGAGTTAAAGAGGGCTTAGTCTAAAAGTCTGGCACATTACATGTTTGTAAATGTGCAGATATGAAGCTCATGTTTTCCCAAGAGAAAGGTTTGTTATAATTATGCTTGAGATTTCATATTTTTTGTAAACTGTCGAGTGGTCCAGGTTTTAGTGTCTCAAGCTATGTCACAGACATAGAATGATTACAGAAATTACTACATCTCAGACTCTAAAATGATGAACATAATTACTTCAGTCAAGACAGAGGTAATGTTTTTACCGTCGTTTGTAGGGTTGTTCACAACATAACTCAAAAAGTATCAAATGGATTTTGATAAAAAAGTTTTGGAGAGGTAGGGTATGGCCCATGGAGTAATCTCTTAGATTTTGGTGCTCATCATCCAAATCAAGGAATCTTTTAAAGGATTCTTCGCCATTGTGAGATACATAAGCTAATTTCAATGTTTTGACTTCTAACTCCATACATGACGCCTACAATGCCTGGACAAAAATTGTAAGAAAGTAGTGCCATAAGATCTACCACAAACCAAGGTACTGTATGATCTGGATCCAAGTAATATCTGGTGGTGGTGATCCAGAATGTTTAAATTTACAGGGCTCATGGAAAACGTTCTACTGTGAGACAACAAATATTGCTACAGACTTGCAACTAAGATCAAGTTCTAGCCGAAATTGCTGATTCAGCAGGGTGTCAACAGATTTGTCCTCAGAAGTTACTGAGCTAGATCCTGAAGAAAACTGCCATTACTGAAAAATAACTTTTATTGAATAACTTTCAAAGTAATAATGATTGTGTGATTGCACTGTGATTCCAAATATAGGTAGATTTTCATGGTCAAAGAATTATATTGCGAGGGTCAAGCCATCATGGAAATATTGCTTTTAGGCGTAGTGACACTGCGGGGACAGTGAGCTGCCTTGGTGGAGGGTTGTGCTCTCAGAGTGCTGTCTACTGTTTGGTTGAATAGGTGAATGGAAGCCATTTCTTGCTTCAGTTTTTCTCTTGAATTAATTGTGTAAACAATAAATGTACTGTACAGTTGTAAAGACACTTTGAAGTTGTGTCTAATAAAATATACAAAATATATATTCAACACTTCGAAAGCGTATAGTGTCTTTTGTCAGAGAAAAATGTATGCAAGCCTCAATAAATTAAGACAAATTGTGATGGGAGAGTTCCATCTCCTGGCCAAAGACAGTGTGGCAAGATTTCTAATGTGCTTCTAAGAAGAAAGAGAAAATTAGACTTGCCATTGTGTTTAGTAATAAACAGCAGTGGCTTAAGAACAAATATTACTTGAACAAACAGTACATAAAGTATGAGCAGAGTATAAAATTGCCCTTCTATTTGTTTCAGGGTAAGAAAATCTCGTTCTACAAGCGAGCTCAGATCCTGGTGGCAGATTTGTGGGGTATCATGGAGGCCAAAGGAGAGGGAGACATCATTAACATGGACTGGCTCACCATGTTCCCAGACTACAGGGTCCCACAGACTCTCGTCTACCTTGGAGCACTACGATACTCGGACACATTGATGCAGACGCTGAAGAATGGTGAGAGAGGCGTGTGCATGTATTTATGCTGTCATAAAGAAATGAATCATTAAAAAATAGTAAGCTATAGTTATTGTGTTTTGCTTTTGTCTCATTTCTCTCAGGCGAGCTGCTCTGTTCGGGGGACAGGAGAGAGGTCGAGATCCGAGGTTGTTCGGTTTGGGTTGTGGAGCTGATCAAAGACCATCTATGGAAGCTGGTGCAGGAGAGAGAAGGACATACCTGCAACATCAACTCCGCAATCATCGACTTCTACCTGTGGCCTTATGCCAAGAAGAACCACAAAAAGATGGCCCACATTCCCATACACCACACACGCTGTATTTACTACTGACGAGCTGGGTGGCAGCACTAGATACAGTAGGCTGCACTTCTCAGTATGCAGCCTTGGCACCAGTGCTTTTCCCTGGGATACAGCCAAGCATGCCTCCTTGCCAGATATATGTATAAATGGACTTCTCTCAAGCTAAGTGAAACAGGTGTGAAGCTCTACTGTAGTGCCTGTGTGGGTAGAAGCTCTGTTGTCTATTTTCAGTCTTGTTTACTGTTG